CCCCCCCCACCACAGGCGACACCTTGCGGAGCAAGCGTGCGTAATCCAGGGTGCAACTGAAAATAACCTTGACGCGCGACCTTATTGAAAGCAAATTACTGGCTGTGGTCTTTTTTAAAATGTCATGCTCCAGACCTGACTATCTCTGACTATTATGAATTTTTCTTTTAACAAGTCCTTCACATTCATCCTGAAATGGGATATAATCCGATGTTGTTTTTTTTTTTTCAAATAGAAAATGGTGCCATTTCCGTTTTTGATTCTGCACAGAATATTACATTTTTAGAGATGTTTTCGACTTTCTGCCATCACTGCTGAATTCATCCAACATGATTACTGTCAGTTCCCAGATAGGAGTCCCTGGTGGCCAGGCTAAACATTCATTTTCAGAGCAGGATGTTCTGAGGTATAATGGCACCCTGATGAAACCATAGAGCTAAATATGCAGTCTTTTTTCCCCTATTCTTGTCATGCACTATCAGTGCAAAGGCAACATTTTCTGCCTGCCACGCTTAACATCCCACATAAATATATGTACTAGTAAGTAGTTAGTTATATGTAAATCCTACAGGATTCATAGTTTCATTGAAGCGGTCTTTACAGAACCAAACATCATATACACACTTTGTTCATCTGGATAAGCCATTATAATAATATATTTCCTGGCATATACAGGCTTAATTTAATAAAAAAATTTCTGAAGCTAATCAATAGATGTGTCAATTGGATATAAATTTCATGAAGCTGTCTGATTAACTTTGTGCATATCAGAGAGTGCATCATATATCACTTTCCAAATATAATTCCTTAATTGGTTTTTGTCAAAGCCTTCCCTATCAATTATGCACATATTCCTAATGTACTTTGGAATTAGCCCTTATCTTTTTTTTCTGTTAAATTACAAAATACATATATGATATTTCCAGCTATCAAATATTTGTCAGACAGATCATCTAAAGGCAAACCTCAACTCTACAGCTTAATACAGAGTTTGCTTCCAAGATTAAAAACTTCCTGGTTTACTTTTCGAAATCCCTTCAAGCAGAATTGTTAAGAACATGGTAAAGAAAAAAAAAGCACTACCCTTTAAAATTACATGCCCTACTTAATTAGTGAAGCCATTTGGCCCATTTAGAATCAAAAAGGGAATTTTTATTACTAGTACATTACAAATTAATTTTCAGGACAGCAAACAAAACTTTCCAAATTCTATCATATGAGCTGACATGTCTAAGAATATATTTTGTTATAAAATTCTTAGAACAAGTAGATAAATGGTACTTGATTCAATAGATTGTGATACTATAACTATATATAGCAAGACTATGGGACACAAAAACTGTGATTGCTATTCCCAATTGTTTTAAGTATAGCACATCTAATGCAATTAAGAAGCAATTCAACCACACTGCCATAAAGATACATTGCAGGAGAAAGTCAAATACTAGTTAGTATATAAATCATAAATACCAGTTTCAAACACAAAACAACCTACATGAAAAAATCACAATCCACATGAAAAAATCAATCTCTCAATCAGTTGAACAAACTTTATAACCATGTTTTTCAAATTTTAAATTTCTAGTCATGAAGCACAGAGAGAGTAAGCAGGAATTAGCTGTGCAAAAAGCTGTGCAAATATCACTTTTCAGCAAAAAAATGTAATGGAATTCAGCTGTATTTCTTTACACCAAACTGTCTGATAAACTACA